TTATTATTATTATTATTATTATTATTATTATTATTATTATTATTATTATTATTATTATTATTATTATTATTATTATTATTGGCCATTTTTGTAAGCAGGGAGTGGAACCAGGACGGGATCCCAGATAGAACAGAAGATCCTCCCGGGCCGGGGTCTTTTCCTTCATCCATCAATCCATCCATCAATTGAGCTTTTGAAATTGCGCTGGCTCCCGCGCCGCCCTCCCTCCCTCCCTCGGCGGTCCCATCCCCGCCGCGCGGCCGGGGATGCGGTTGCCGGGGCAACGGAGCCCAGCATCTCGGGTCGCCTAGCAACCGGCTCTCCCCGGCTTCCTTCCCCCGCCTGCTCCGCGCCTTCTCTCTCCGTCTCTCCGTCTCTCCTCCCACCCGGCGCTGGGAATCAAGCCAGGCGGGGAATGCGCAAGCTCGGCCCGGCGAGAACGGACGCCCGAAGTCCTTCGGCATCATGGCGCTCTGGCGGCCGGCGCTGCTGTTGCTGCTCCTCCTCCTCCTGCTGCTCCGTGAGTCTCTCGCCCCCTTGGCTGTGTGTGTGTGTGTGTGCGCGCGCGCGGGGTGCGTGTGTGTGTGTGGGGGGTCGGTGGAGGGGTCGGGGATCTCTCGATCGAGGGGAAGGAGACGAGCCGGATCCAAGGGAGAGCCCGGGCGGGGTCGTTCTTTCCCGGTCCTAACAGCTCCCTTTCCCCCGGGGGTCCCATTGTTTCCAGCATCCCGCCAGTTGCAAAGTTAGTGGAATGCGTCTCTAGGGGATGGAGGATTGGGGTATTATTTTTGGGGGGTGGGGGGTGGGGCTCTTGGGAAGTTTTCCCCCCTAACCCATCATCCTTGGGCAGGGAGTTCCTGAAACAATAGGCCCGAGGCTGCTTCCCCCGAGGGTTGGAGGATGCAGTTTGGTGTGTGTGTGTGTGTGTGTGTGGTGTGCGCCTTACAAAGGGGTGGAAAACTTTTTTTCCAGCCCAGTATTTGGGACAAAAGGAAAGCAGTTGCAGCTGCTTTGGGGAAGAAAAAGTGT